CCATTTGACTTCCGAGTTATGACTGCACTTTTTTTGTGCATTTCAGCAGTTTTTATTAAGAACACATGCTTCCACAGTGGTTAATGGGAGTCACTCTGTCCCCTTGATCATTTCGCTTGCCCATTTCTGAACCTTTTCCCAGCTCTGCAATATCCTTTTTGAGACCAGGCCACCAAAGAGGCAGAAATGAGAGGGCCAGCCTTGTGGGCTGTGCTGAGCCGCCCTGCACTTGACTTTGTAAAGAAATTGAAGCGCTGCGAGGTGTGTTTGCCGACACTTTGAGTTAACTGTTCCCAAGGCAGTCCTCACGGCATTCCCCTCCTGGAGAGAGAGAGCCTCTTTCTGGCTTTCTCTTCTGCACTGCAAATGAGAGGATCTGAAGACGGTTTGCTGAGACGACGCTCCATTTCTCCGGAGGAGATGGCGTTTGGGCCTCGCCTGCTTCTTTTTCAAGTCCCCAGTGCCAGCGCAAAGCTGCCTCTTTGTCGGCGGGGCATTTGATCTGGGGCCTCGTTAGCGGAGCTTCCTTGGGTCGACTTCCACAAGGGTGTTACCGCTTCCAGCAGGAGTCATGTCTCTCTCAGGAGATCTGAGGACAGGGAGGAGGAGAAGGGTGTTCTCGGCACTGGATGTAGGATGGATGGGAAGCTGGCTCCAAGAAACTCTTTGCTGCTTTGGGTGGAATATCCTTCTGGCATCCCCTCTCGTTAATGAGAGCTGGCCAATAGGAACATAGGAAGCTGCCTTATATTGAGTCAGACCACTGGCCCATTGAACCCACTATCACCTACACTGATTGGCAGTGGTTTGCCAGGATTTCAGGCAGGAGTCTGTCTCAGTGTTAGAAACTCAGATATATAAGCTAATCGCCAAATGGCACCTTAAACTAGGTTATGGTCGCCACCTCAGAATATCTAGGTGCCATTTTTTTTACAGTAAAAATTATAGTAGTAATAGTAGTAGTTATTATTATTATTATTTCTTCCTTATGTACTGCTTTGTATTTTAAAGAAAAATTCTCAAAGTGGTTTGCAGCACATTAAATAAAACGATCCAGAATAAAACAAATTCAAGCTTCAAGGAAAATATTTCAGATCCTTCTCTAACTGACATTTCGCTTCCCCCCATATTTATTTGCCTACTTAATTTATAGAGCTGTTCCATAGCAGAAGTACTTCTGGATTGCTTATTCTGGGTGTCTCTTAATTCATTGTTTTGTGAGAGAGATGCGCTGCAACAACAAAAAACAAACAAACTGGGAAGCAACCCCTGCAGTTGAGGAACCACAGTGAGAGAATCCCTGGCAGATGGGCACCCAGCCTCTGCTCAGAAGCCTCCCACCAAGGAGAGTATACCCTGCCTCTTCCTCTGCGTTGCTTAGCTGGTGGGCTTCCTCTCTGACCAAAGCGTATTTCTCTGCCAGCTCAGGGGGTTGGCAAAGCGCATCTGGGGAGGTGGTATTGCTGTTCTTGCTGCTGTGAAACTGCTATCGCCCCCCCCAGGCTCCGCTGTGCCAGCGCTGTTCTGGGTTGGCATTCCGGCAGCCAGCAATCCTGGGGAACCGCAGAGGATCCAGCCTGATTCATCCTTCTTCGTAGCTGAGAGTGTGCAGGGGTCTCCGAGGCCTGCTATAACTTCGGGCGAAGGGAGGCTCATCTCTCTAAGTCTCTATTGTTTGTTTTTCTGTTTTGAAAGGAAAGGGCATCAACCTGTTTGTCTCTTTCTGCCTCCTCATGGGGCTTTTCTATTCCCCGATTTCCCAGCTAGCACATCATCTCATTTACCATCCAATTCGGTTTAAAGAGAGCCCAGACTCTCTTTTGATTTCTATAAAAAAGTGCCTCTCTCTCTTGCACTCCCTCCCCTGCCCTTGAAATGATTTGCGTAAATTGCCCTGAGTAGCCGGGAAATAAAAGCCTTGCTGGTGAATGGTATTTATATTTATATATACGTATGTATTTTTGCAGGAGTTTATTTTTTAAATGCACCATCTCTGTTTTCTCCCCACCCACTTTGACGTTCTTAGTAATTTGTAATAAAAGAGGCTTTCCTGAGAATGGGCAGGGCCCTGAAGCGTGATATGTAATATGTGTGTGAATCTCAGCAAAACTGCCGTGGTGATTTTCTATTTATATTTTTATTAATATCCTGCCTTTCCTCCAGACTGGGACTCAAGGTGACTCACAAATTAAAACAACAGAGATAATATACAAAAGGCTGAAAAACATATTAAAGATAATTGCTATAAAGTAATTAAGCTCTAACAGAATTACAACAACAAAAACCCCCAAATCTGTTAAAATACAGATGGTGAGAGTAGCACAGCGCTACTTAGAAGCCCTTTCCATAAAAACAAAACAAAACAAAACAGTTCCCAAAAGGCTGTTGGAAGAAGCGGAAGGACAGCAAGGAGGGAGCCAGTCTGGCTACCCTAGGGAGGGAGTTGCAAAGCCTGGGAGCAGCCACCGAGAAGGCCCTGCCCTGCGTCCCCACCAAGCAGGCCTGTGAGGGGGGCAGGACTGAGGAGAAGCTCCTCCCCTGAGAGCCCAGACAGGTTTGTGTGGCAGAAGACAGTCTTTCAGATAGCCTGGTCCAAAGCTGTACAGTGGTACCTCGGGTTAAGTACTTAATTCGTTCCAGAGGTCTGTTCTTAAGCTGAAACTGTTCTTAACCTGAAGCACCACTTTAGCTAATGGGGCGTGATGGCGGCACGGCGGCAGCAGGAGGCTCCATTAGCTAAAGTGGTGCTTCAGGTTAAGAACAGTTTCAGGTTAAGAACGGACATCTGGAACGAATTAAGTTCTTAACCCGAGGTACCACTGTATAGGGCTTTGTAGCACTTGGAATTGTGCCTAGAAAGAGACTTGTAGCTGGTGGAGCTGTTGTCGCAAGGGAGCGGAGGCTCCAGCTTCCAAGGGCGATTGTGGGGACCAATGTCATGTGCGTGACATCATGTCATTGGGAGGAACCAGAGGCGGAGTCACAGGTTGCAGCTGTGCAGCTTCAATAGCTGTCGGCTCCTCCTCCTCCTGGCACCACCACTGGCAGGAGGCTGCTTTGACCCTCTTTCTCCCCACCCCAGAAATATTCAGGGCCCCCCAAAAGTCTCGGCCCCCAGGAACTGGTGTCTCTGCAAGTGAGTCATGTGCTTCCTATAACCAGCGGGTGTTGACCTATAAAGCCTTACACAGCTCAGGACTTCAGTACCTGAAGGACTGCCTTTCCCCAGGCGAACTGCCTCCCCTGGACCCTGCACTTGTCACCTGAAGCCCTTCTCTGTGTTTCCCCTCCTCAAGAGGTTCGGAGGGTGGCAACATGGGAGCAGGTATTTCCTGTGGTGACTCCCCTGCTGTGGAATGCTCTCCCCAGAGAGGCTTGCCTGGCACCATCGTTACAAGTCTTTAGGTGCCTGGCAAAAATATTCCTCTTTACCCTTTGGCCATTAAATACTCTATGACCTGTTAAAGCTTGGGGGGGCAGGGGACTGTCATTATGATTATTTTATTATTATGCTGTCTTTTATTATGTATTATTGGGACGCGGGTGGCGCTGTAGGTTAAACCACAGAGCCTAGGGCTTGCTGATCAGAAGGTTGGCGGTTCGAATCCCCGCGACGGGGTGAGCTCCCATTGCTTGGTCCCTGCTCCTGCCAACCTAGTAGTTCAAAAGCACGTCAAAGTGCAAGTAGATAAATAGGTACCGCTCCGGCGGGAAGGTAAACGGCATTTCCGTGCGCTGCTCTGGTTCGCCAGAAGCAGCTTAGTCCTGCTGGCCACATGACCCGGAAGCTGTACGCTGGCTCCCTCGGCCAATCAAGCGAGATGTGTGCCACAACCCCAGAGTCGACCACGACTGGACCTAATGGTCAGGGGTCCCTTTACCTTTTAATTATGTATTGTTAATGTCTATTAGCCACAGTGGTTATGCTCTGCTTCCACAGTTGGAGGCAGCAATGCTTATGAATACCAGTTGTTGGAAACCACAAGAGGGAAGATGCTCTTGTGCTCAGGTCTTGCTTGTGGGTTTCCCACAGGCATCCGGGCGGCCACTGTGAGAACAGGATGCTGACATAAAGGGGCCGTTGGCCTGATCCATTTGGCTCTTACGTTCTTAAGATCCCAGGTTCAATCCCCAGCCAGAGAGAGAACAACTTGCCCCCCCTTCCAACATAGGATGTGGTCTACAGGAAATTTGGGAAAAGGGGAGTCTCTTTGCATGCAGAAGGTTCCAGGTTCAATCCCTGTAGCTTCGGCAGGTAGATCTGGGAATCTCCCCTTTCAGAAACCCCCAATAGTTGCTGCTGGTCAGCGTAGACAATATGGAGCTGGGTGGATCAAAGGTCCGATTCAGTATAAAGCAGATCCCTGCACTCGAGTTTCAAAAGTGCCATATTTTAAACACCAAACGAGATTTCTCTTCCCTCTTGGCTATTGCTCACCTGCTCAGAAGCTGTGAAGTAGAGGTAATTGGTGAACCCGCTCCAGGAAGTCACCTCTTCCCTTTCCCTGCCAGAGTTCACCAGTGGGGGTGGGAGGTGTCACGGGATACAATACACCCCCCCAGCCCTCCCCCAGCTCTGAGTCATCTGGGATTCAGAGGCACCGGTTCTCCTCTATGCCAGGGTGGAAGGTAATTATTACATTTGTAACAATTATTCACTTAATTGAGTTCCAATTAAAGAGGAGTTTTTCTGCACGTCAAAGGGAGCTCTTTGCCTTGTTGTCCCTTTTATCTAATTTGTCACTGTAATTTGCTCTTTCTTGTTTAAAGGGCATCTCAGAGTGCCTTGGAAGCATCCCAGGGCTGGTTCTTTTTATCCCTTCCCGGAGGCAGCCTGTCCTTGAAGCTGGGTGAGGTGTGCCAGGTCTATCCAATACCGTTACAAAAATAGGAGCTGTCTTATGCTCAGTCAGGGTATTGGTCCATTATGCTCAGTATTGTCTGCACTGACTGGCAGAGGCTGCCTGGGATTTCTGGCAGGAGTCTCTCTCAGCCCTACCTGGAGAGCCCGGGGATTGAACCAGGGACCTTCTGCATGTAAGGCAGATGCCCTACCCACTGAGCTATGGGCCTTCCCACTAGGTTGCAACCACATTTGGAACACTATATACAGTTCTGGTTTCCTCCCCTCAAAATGGATATTGTCGAGTTGGAAAAGGTTTCAAAAAGGGAAAGCAAAATGATCAAGGCGATGGAGCAACACCCTTATGAAGAAAGGTTTCAACGTTTGGGACTTGGGTCGTTTAGAGAAAAGGAGAGTAAGAATCAACTGGATAGGAGTGAAATTATGCATGGCATGGAGACAGCAAATAGAGAATTTTTTCCCCTACCTCTCTCTCAGAACACAAGAACCTAGTGAAGCTGAATGTGGGAAAATTCAGAACAGAGAAAAAGGAAGTCCTTCTTTACATAGTGCACTGTTAAACTGTGGAACTCCTGCCCACAGGAGGCAGTGATGGGCATCAATCTAGAAAGCTTTACAAGAGGGCTGTGCAAATCTATGTAAGAGAGAGATACTGGTGACTACTGGCCTCTACTTTCCTCCTTGGTTGGAGGCATTAAAGCTTCTGAATGCTGGAAACTTCAGGAGGGGAGAGTGTTTTCGCACTCACGTCCTGTGTGAGGGGCATCATTTCCTTCATTGCAGGGCGTTGGACTGGGTCTCTTCCAACTCTACAATTCTACGATCTGCTTGGCCACTGTGAGATTAGGATGCTGATCCAAAAGGCTCTTCTTACGTTTTTAATGTTCTTTTGCCAAATGACATTTCCAACTGGATTTCCAGCTGTGGAAATCCCCAGGGCTCCCTCCATTCCCCCAAGGAGTTTCTGGAGCAGACATGAAGAGATTTCTGCAGCTTGCGGAACACGGCCTTTCCCCCCGGGTGCAGGATGCTGCCTTTTTTCCTTTCCTTTTGCTGGGTCAGTTCAGAGCGGCCTGTTTCGCACGCAGAGGCGCCTGGCACTCCCTTGGGGGGTTTCCTCTGATGTAAGGGCCTCGGCAGATCACAGCCGGAGGGTGGCTGTCAGCAGGAATCGGCCACTCTGGGGCAGGTGGAGCATTGGCCTGACTCGACGCCAGTGTGCGGCCCACCCCTCTCCCCCTTAGACCCCTCTTGCCTCTTGAGCACCCTGGGCTGACCCTGCAGCCTTGGGGGAGGTGAGCGGCTGCAGACTCCTCAAGGCCTTGAGAGCTCATCCCATCAGACCGGATCAGGCCGTTCGTATCGGCTGCTCGGTCGGCTGCGAGTGATGTGTCCCCTGAGGGTCCCTGGGCAGGAGCAGTGGCCTTATCACAGGGCAGGGAGGTCTCTGGTCTTGGCAGCCGAGAGAGACTTCTCTCGCTCAGATGTGCTTTCCTGCGACATGGCTGGTTTGGAAGGGACTGACCTCTTCATGGAATTGTGGAGTTGGAAAGGACCCCCGAGGGCCATCCGTCCGGCCCTCGGCAATGCAGGAATCACAGCTGAAGATTCTCCGGCAGATGGCCACCCAACATTCAACTCCAATGAAGGGGAGCCCACCACCTTTCAAGGGAGCCCATCCCTCTGTCAAACTGCTCTTACAATAATAATAATAATAATAATAATAATAATAATAATTTTTATTTATACCCCGCCCTCCCCAGCCAAGACCGGGCCCAGGGTGGCTAACAACCAATATAAAAATAAATTGATTGAAATACAACTTAGAAAAACAAGATTAAAATACAGAATTAAAACATTAAAACATTTGGAGAAATATACCAAGTGTTACAAAGTAGAAAAAGATAGAGATATTGGTTATGAGTTTGAAATGTAATAGGGAAGATAAGAAATGCATACTGAGAGATTAGATTGGAAAATTTTCAGACAGGATTGATGGAAGTCAAAATTTTGAATAAGATGTAAAAGTATGTTTAATTACTGTTGAAAATGATATGTTTAAAAAAACCAATAAAAATTATATTAAAAAATAAAATAAAACATTAAAACATTTAAATGTTAAAATGCAGCCTCATTTCAATGGAAACTCAAATCAAAAATGTTTTTTGGGGGATGAAGACAGCAAGTCTTCACCAAGGCTAACTATCCAGACTGGTCCTACATGGGCCAGAAAAAAAGCCAGGGAAGTCTCCATATAGGAGTTCCATCACAGGAGGAGAAAGGAAAAAGAAAAAGGGGAAGGGAATCAAATTGATTCCAAGTCAAAGGCCAGGTGGAACAACTCTGTCTTACAGGCCCTGCGGAAAGAAATCAGATCCTGCAGGGCCCTGGTCTCATGAGGCAGAGTGTTCCACCAGGCCGGAGCCAGTGTTGAAAAGGCCCTGGCTCTGGTTGAGGCTAATCTAACTTCCTTAGAGAGTTCTTCCTTGATGTTTAGTTGAAATCTCCTTTCTCATCATTTGAAGTTCAGGTCCTCCCCTCCAGAGCAGCAGAGTTGCATCTTCCATGTGACAGCCCTTCAGGTATTTGAAGATGGCTGTCATATCACTTCTTAGTCTTCTCTTCCCCAGGCTAAAGATACCCAACTCCCTAGACTGTTCCTCAGAAGGCAATGGTGTCCAGACCTTTTATCATCTCGGTCATCCTCCTCTGCACTGCATTCTGTGCCAAGGAAAAGACCAACCGTGGGCCAAAAGCGAGCAGCCTGTATTTATTTATTTCCGAAAACGTTTACACCACTTGATTGGAAAAACCCCACACAACATTCGAAACAGTTTACAAACAATAAAATTACCAGTAGAAACCACTCTTCCAAACATTCAAAAGATAAAATCAGCAATCAAATAAAAAGGAGTTAAAACACACATCAACATTCTAAATAATAATAATAATAATTTTATTTACCGTATATCCCGCCCTCCCCACCTAAACTAAAGTGGTTTTAGTAGGTGCCTAAAAGAGTATGGCTGACATGCTTGCCTGGTGTCAATAGGCAGGGAGTTCCAGAGTTGCCACTCTAAAAGACCATTTTCTTGATGTATCACCTGGAACAATGCCAGTTCCTCAAGTGGTCGAGTGGGATATATGGGTAAGGTGACCTTGCAGACATTCATTGGACTCCCATTGGAAGAGAGGGGTGAGGGAAGTTCGCAGCCCAAATGTAGCCCTCCAGGCCTCTCTATGTGGTCCCTGAGGCTCTACCTAAGCCACACCCCGTCCCCAGGCCACACCCCTCACCATCACTGCTTCATGCCCTCCTTGCTTGTTTTTGCCTGGCTGGGATTTGTCCTTGAACCCTCATCTTGCCTCTTTGATTTCATGAATGATGGATAGAGAGATGCGTGTAGAAACTGGCCTACTCCTACAAAGGGAAAAGCTCCCACGTTTGCCTCTGGTTCTTCCAGTGTCGAGACCAGGGTTTCCCAAACTTAGGTCTCCAGCTGCTGTTGGACTACAACTCCCATCATCCCTAGCTAGCAAGACCTGTGGTAAGGGATGTTGGGGATTGTAGTCCGGAAACAGCTGGAGAACCAAGTTTGGGAAACCCTGGGCTAGACCAATGCAGTGCCTTCCAGGTGTTGCTGGAATACAACTAATTTTGGTCTAGCAGCCTGCTTCTTCTGAAAAAAAAGGTGACCTTTATAATGTGTTTCTGCTACATACATAAGGCTCCGAGTCTCCTTTGTGCTTTGTCTTAACAGTTTTTAATTACTGACTTGTTAAAAATGTAGGAAAGAAACATGTTTTTTTACACATCTGTAAGCTGCGCTTGGATTTTGATAGGAGAGGAAAAGTTGAATTAAGCTTGATTGAATCTTGGAAAGCTGTGTGTGTGTAGTGGTTCTGATTGAGAAAAAGTAATCTGAAACCTGTGGAAACAATAGCTGGATTTTGTGACTCTATGAAATGGTGTGCATTTGATGATATAGCGGTGGGTTTTTTTTGTATTTAGCTGATTTTGTTCTGCATTTACTCTTGTTATTCTAGTTTCTACGTTCTCTTCTGTCATTTTTTCTGTGTGGCTTGGCCCCCCATGGAGAGCAGCAAGTGATTTATGTAAGCCGTCCTGGGAACTTTTTCCGCTGAAAAGCGGGGTGGAAACCTTTGAATGGATGAATGAAATAACAGAGGACCTTGACACCCTGCTGTCTAATCACAGCAAATCCCATTCAGATCTCTGGCTTCTAAAATCTCAGCTGGGGATTGCCCTGTGATCCTAGCAAGCCCCTCCCATATCCTGAGCCATGCTAGCCATTGGCTAGATTTCAGCATGGTCACGGAATGTTCACAGACATCAAATGCTCGAATCCTGCTTGTTGGTTTCCCATTAGGGCATCTGGTTGACCCCTGTGAGAACAGAATGCTGGACCAGATGGGCTATTGGCCTGATCCAGCAAGCTCTTCTTATGTTCTTATATAGGGTCAGACCATTGGGGGTCTTTCTAGCTCATTATTGCCTTCCCTGACTAGCAGTGGCCTTCCTGGGGTTCAGGAAGGAGGTTTGGTTGTTTTAAATTTATGTTTTTATTATTACTTTTTTTGTATTGGATCAGATTGTTATAAGGTATATGGTCTTCATTGTATGTTTTGTTGCCCCACCATAACTTTTAAGCCAATATAGAGGGACGCGGGTGGTGCTGTGGGTTAAAGCACAGAGCCTAGGACTTGCCGATCAGAAGGTCGGCGGTTTGAATCCCCGCGACGGGGTGAGCTCCCGTTGCCCGGTCCCTGCTCCCGCCAACCTAGCAGTTCAAAAGCACGTCAAAATGCAAGTAGATAAATAGGTACCACTCCGGTGGGCAGGTAAACGGCATTTCCGTGCGCTGCTGTGGTTTGCCAGAAGTGGCTTAGTCATGCTGGCCACATGACCCGGAAGCTGTACGCTGGCTCCCTCGGCCCATAAAGCGAGATGAGCGCCGCAACCCCAGTCGGTCATGACTGGAGCTAATGGTCAGGGGTCCCTTTACCTTTACTAGCAAGATAGAAAGCAGTATATGAATTAAAAGGAGGGGAAAGGGAAAACAAAATTTCCCAACCAGAGCTGCAGAGGATCGAACCTAGGACCCCCTGAGTGAAATGCAAGAGCTCTACCACTAAGCTATGGCTCTTCCTGTATTAGTAACCCAAGAAACTGGTTTTTGTTGAGTCAGACCTTTTATCCATTAGCTCAGTATTGTCTACAATGACTGGCAGCAGATGTGCAGGGTTTCTGACAGGGGACACTCCCAACCATACCATAGACACCAGGGATCGCAACCTGGACTGCTTGCATGGTCTGACTCTGTGTGAGGCACCTTCCTGTGCTCCTTTGCCCCTGCAGCACCAGCCACCACAAAAGGCTTGCCCACCCCTGGCAAAGTCCATCATTCATGCCACGTGACTCCGGGCCCTGAAGTCTCCTCGCCTCCTCCAGTCTCCTTCCCGGTGTAGCGAAGAGGCTTTTCTGATGTTTGGGGTAGCGGCAGAGGCGCCTTTTGAACTCGCTCCAGGGGGAACGCTTGTCTTGGGGCCTTAGAAGGGAGCAGGAGATGACATGGGTTGAAAGGAATCCCCCAGATGCTCTTCTCGGTAATCAGAGGTGTTTGTTCATGTCCGAACCACTCTCTTTCTTTCCTCCTCTCCTCGAGATCCTCTTTGCTGACGTCAGTGCAGAGGCAGAACCTAGCACTGGCGAGGTAAGTTTGGATAGGAGCTGCCTTATACTGAGTCCGTAGATCTCAGTGTTTTCTACACTGGCTGGCAGGGTCTTAGGCAGGGGCCCTACCTGCAAACACAGTGGATTGGGGCCTTCTGCATGCCCAGCAGATGTTCTGCCGCTGAACTGAGGCCCTTCCTCAGCCATGTGCTTAGGAACATAGGAAGGCAGAGTCCATCTAGATCAGTGCTGTCGACTCTGACCGGCAGTGCCCTCTGGGATTTCAGGCGTGGCTCTCTCCCAGTCCTGTCCAAAGACACCAGGGAGTGACATGGAGACCTCGGCCTCTGCTACTGAGTGACACCCCTTTGCTCTGCTCAGTGAAGCCGCTGGTCCATATAGCTCAGTATTGCCCACACTGACTGGCAGCATCTCTCCAGGATTTCAGGCATGGTCCTGACCTGTCTGGAGATGCCAGAGCAGGCTTTCTCAAACTTAGCCCTCCAGATGTTTTGGGCCTACAACTCCCATGATCCCTGGCTAGCAGGACCAGTGGTCAGGGATGTTGGAAATTGTAGTCTCAAAATATCTGGAGGGCTGAGTTTGAGGAAGCCTGTGCCAGAGAGTCAACCTGAGACCTTCAGCCTTCAAAGGAGGTGCTGTAGCGCAGCATATTCCTTTGCAGATGGAATATGTTTCCTGGCCTGGGGAAACTCACATAGGGGAAAAAATACCACATTTTTGCCTTGTTTCCCCTCTTGGGAATTCAGTCGTCAAAACCCACTTCTGTGTTGTCTATGTGTTCTGTATAGTGTGATTGTCGGGTATGAACAAATCTGTCAATTTCTCTCTGTTTCTCTATTTATTTATTTTTCTAATCCGAAGTTCAGTTCAGTACATTTCCACATAACTTCGTGATTAAAACAACAACAACAACAACAACAACAACGGATAAAAGATGCTTCTGAAGTTTCGTTAGCATCTGAGGGCCTGGACCACTGCTGGGTCCAGGAGTCACAACAATGTGTGTGTGGGGGGGTGTAGTTTAATTTCTTCAGCCACCCAGAGAAGATATGTAGCAGCTGATCACATCTCAGCTCACAAGTGGACTCCTCTAGGAAGAGGGAGTTTGTCAGCGATGTCAGTCGGCAATGAACCTGCCCCTCCGGCCTGCAGGCCAGATGTGGCTCACAGCTGGATTTTGTCCTGTCCCCTGGGTCCCCTCCCTCTGCCAGTTGTTCAGTGGGCAGCAGGTGAGAGAGGAAAGGCTCTGACACTGAGCAAAGGGTGTCACTGCAGCTCCCGTCCTCTGGAGGAAGATCTGCTGCAAGAATTTCCAAGCAGAAGGGAGAATATATTGGAAGAGAGGTAGACTCTAGCTCAGAGGTAGACAGACTAAGGCCCGGGGGCTGGATCCGGCCCAATCGCCTTCTCAATCTGGCCCGTGGATGGTCTGGGAATCAGCGTGTTTTTACATGAGTAGAATGTGTCCTTTTATTTAAAATGCATCTCTGAGTTATTTGTGGGGCATAGTCATTTCGTTCATTATTATTTTTTCCAAATATAGTCTGGCCCACCACATGGTCTGAGGGACGGTGGACTAGCCCACGGCTGAAAAAGGTTGCTGACCCCTGCTCCTTGCTCGAAGTGTAGTCCATACATTTGCAATTGCATGCCTGTGATTTTCAGAAAGCTTGATTTTATTTTATTTTTTAGTTTCAAGTGGCTGCAAGGTAGGTCTTGCAGTTCAGCTGCACATTGACCTCATTTGCAATTCCCAGCTGAGGTTTTACCTTTTGCACTGTGAGAGTATTGGAGAATCTTCTCCTTCTCCTTTATTGTGGTTGTTATTGTCATAATTATTATTACAGTCTGTGTAAGTAAAGCCCCTGCCAGCTTTCCACTGGGCTAAAACTGTGAGATTGCCTTACCCCATAAATGCCCACTCAAATGCTTCAATCTGTGGAACTAGCGCTGTTACAGATGCCACATGATACGCATTCCACATCTGTAAGAAATCCATCTCATAGTGTGGCAGCACCTACACTTTGGAACTCCCTGCCGCTTGAGACCTGGCAGGCACCTTCACTGTATTCTTTCCAGCACCTGATGAAAAAGTTTTTGTTTAGAGAAGCCTACCCAAATGTCTAAGGGACGCGGGTGGTGCTATGGGTTAAACCACAGAGCCTAGGACTTGCTGATCAGAAGGTCGTGGTTCGAATCCCCGCAACAGGGTGAGCTTCCGTTGCTCGGTCCCTGCTCCTGCCAACCTAGCAGTTTGACAGCACGTCAAAGTGCAAGTAGATAAATAGGTACCGCTCCGGCGGGAAGGTAAACTGTGTTTCCATGCGCTGCTCTGGTTTGCCATGTGGTCATGCTGGCCACATGACCCGGAAGCTGTACGCCGGCTCCCTCGGCCAATAAAGCGAGATGAGGGCCGCAACCCCAGAGTCGGCCACGACTAAACCTAATGGTCAGGGGTCCCTTTACCTTTACCTTTACCCAAATATCTAGGTCTTAGCTTAGGGTTGATTTCATTTTTTTTAAAATGTTTTCAGTAGCTGTTTTTACATAATTTTAGTGTGTAATTCTTTTTGTAAACCACTTTGAGTTTTCTTGTTCTTCTTTATGGTCAAGCAGTATATACAATTTTATGAAATGAAAATATAAACTCCCCCCGGCCCCCAAATTGTGCCCCACCCCTGCCCTAGAGAACTTTTAAGGTTGAAGCCAGCACCTTGAACTGAACTCCACAGCCAATTAGTTACCAAGAGGTGCAAGTTAGCTTGAACTTGAACGCAGCTCCCCTTCCCTGATAGGAGATGCACAGGTGAATCAGTGTTGGAGTTCTGTTCAAGGGCAGCCCCATGCCCAGCATATTGCAGCAGCCAAGCCTAGAAGTTACAGAAGCATGGATCCGCCTCTCAAGGCTTCACCTGTGCCTCACTTCCCATCCTGATACAGGTAATTCCTGCTTCCCATTCCCCTCTTTGTTAGTTTCAGAGCAGAAACTCCTTTTGCACAGCCTCATCCAAGAATCCCTGTTTCTTTCTGGAAGCAAGGGAGGGTGCTTGGAAGTTAATACATTTGCATGGGGAAGGGGAGAGGGAAAGCCACGCACAGCAGCAGGCTTGTGAATTACTGTCTTCAAAGCAGAGCCTGTCATTGATATTCAAATTTGCTCCAGCTTGAATAGACGGAGCAGACAAAGCGGAAAGGGAAAGTGGCTGGAAAGTGGCTGGAGAGCGAAACTCCCTTTTTGTGTTGCCTGACTCATCAGTGGGCAGATTGGCAGAAAACAAAGTTGGTGTTACGGTTCTGCCTTCTTCCTTGAGGGACCCAGTAGTCCAGTCCTCAGGGAGTGGCCCTTGATCCATGGCTTCCATGGTGGGAGAGGCAAAAATGTGAGCTCCATTTTTAAAAGTTTTTTATATTTTTCAAATTTATACATTTCATAAGTTTTGCAATCAATTTAACATTTCCAAATTTTGACTTCCTTCCCCCTCTTTCTGCGGTTCCTAAAATTATTATTTTTAGAATCTTTTCTACATATCCAAATTAACCTAATTTGCTCATTTATTCATCTCCTTTAACTATACAGTGGTACCTCGGGTTACATACGCTTCAGGTTACACACTCCGCTAACCCAGAAATAGTGCTTCAGGATAAGAACAGAAATCGTGCTCCAGCAGCGCGGCAGCAGCAGGAGGCCCCATTAGCTAAAGTGGTGCTTCAGGTTAAGAACAGTTTCAGGTTAAGAACGGACCTCCAGAACGAATTAAGTACTTAACCTGAAGTACCACTGTATACTCTTAAAAGACTGAAGGTTGTTACATTAATCCTGCTAATGTTTTTATCTGTTTACAATTTATCTCTAAATATTCAACAAACCATTTCCATTCTTTTATAAAAAGTTTGCTATCTTGATAAGTTTTTGTATCCATTCTTCTTTTTCTGGGACTTATGCTTCTTTCCGCTTTTGGGGCAAGTAACATTCTTCCTGCTGCAGTAGTGTACATAAATAAATATATGGTTAGGTAACTTGTGAGCTCCAATTTTCAGCAGGGTTGATGAGGGTGCAGTCACTCTGGCAACACTGAGGCTTTATTTACTTATTTAATGCATTTATGGCCCACCGATACACAATGATACATAATGAAACACAATATTTTAAAAATATTAGGAACATTTGTAATGACAATTAAAAATCAGTGAGAATATTTAATGTGCTGCTTTCACCTTTCTTCACACACACACAGAGCTGAACTTTATATTATTATTATCATCCCACCTTTTTCGCCAGTGAGCTCAAAGTAAAAGCTAAACTGGCTGGCAGCAATGACTCTCTGGGCAGTGACTCATCCTGGAGACGTTGGGCATCAAACCTGGGGCTTCCTGCATGCAAGGCGGATGCTCTCCCCACTGAGCTGATGAGGGGAGACGGCAGCCCGGAGGGTTAGGGATCCAAAGAGG